GCCGCCCTCCCTCACCTCGCGCCCGCGCCAGGCTTCCCTAAATGTCCCGTGTCCAAAGCGATCGAAGCCCCCGCTGAACACAGGGCTTCAAAACCTCCTGGGAACGAAGGCCAGTTAACGAAGCTTGCCAACTCCCGTCTGAAATCTTGGTGCATGGGGGGGGGGGTGGGGGGGTGGGGGGGGTAGGTCCCCACTCCTACGTGGCTCAGTGGCATTAATTATATCAGTGCGGTGGCCTGCTGACCAAGAAGTTCCAAGGTTGATTCCGAAGGTGGCAAGGGATTTTCGACCCATAGACAGATATTGAATATAGCGACCGCGCGGCTCTGGATTCGTAAATACTTTTAGTTTCGTCTCATCAATACCTGGACGAATGTCGGAGCAGTAACCCTATAAAACGGCGAAGGACCGAGTGTGAATATTCCCTCCGCCTTCCTTGGCCTAACTTCATGATAGTTTACTCCCATCATTCACTTTTTATTAGCCAGCTGCACGTCCAATTAGGCAAGGGCCTCCTGATCGCGCAGGGAATTATTAATCCTTCTTTAATGAACGTGATAGGATGACGATTGAAGGGTGAAGGGTCGATCACAAATACACCCATGGCCGAGGCGGGATTCCTAACCGCACCGCATCCTTCCGATCTGAGAATCGCCACGACCACTACTGCCTTCCCGATCTTGGCTATGCCGAATCGTTTACCCATACATCTAACATACTCTTAATTATTCTGCCAGCACACGCCGGGAGACAGTTGTTACCTTAGAGCTTGTCCCGTTTGGGGGCGGTTTTCTCCGTAGAGGGAGATAGGCCTTTGTTCGAGAAAAAACTCAAAGCGGGTTTTGCCATCCAGCAGCTGGTAACCGGCACCTCCCGCGATAATAAAAACTGACTACCATGATTAACCAGTCTATCCGATTGAGAACGATTTTAGACACTATCAATTCAAAAATTGGTGCGACTCGACGCCAGGCGACATAAGGATTGCCAAATAGACAGCTTTCCTCTGATCCATCGTTTCAGTTGTTTTCAATCGCAGAAATCGGCGCTGACGCGTTTATTCATTAATCTTTTGTACTTTAATTGTGAATAAAATGCAACAAAAATAATTCAACGGGTGTGTACACATGCGTGTGAACTTTTATTCCAAACACTGGATGTTTTGGTTTGGTTTTTGGATTTTACAGCCACGCGGAATCATTTAATTCGCAATTATAGGTGCTAACATCACTGGAACCACATTGTGTGCTGAATTGCGGGAAAGAAATCACCAATCGCACGAAACAGCAGCGCCGCGAATGCGGCAGGAATGCGGAAGCACTCGCTCGCGGGAGGTTTTGAGGGCCACTGGGAGGAGGGTTGGGAAGTTATGCGGTATGCTGGGCAAATGATTGAGAGGCAGGTTAAGCAGCTTCTTAATACAATGTGTGGATGTGGTTGAACAAGCTGCAGGATTAGGGCTTGACCCGACAGCTGGGAAGGAGGCTATGTTAGAACTGAACAGTTATTATCAAGAATTCTCGGCTGTCCGGGAGACGCCGCGTCGTTGGCTGGGGTGCCGACGACGAGAATTCATGAATTCGAGCCGCGGAAGCTTACGTACACAGTTATTATCAAGTGTGGGGGCGAGCGTTTCGTCGCGAAAGTAGGGCGATAGGAAGGACGGAACACGCCGAGACGGTAGGGTGATCGCCTGACAAGGTGGGAGAGCGGAAGTTCGGGCGAGCTGCGTGGCTTCGAACACAAGAGCAATCGGCGGGAGTTCAGTCCAGTAAATTGATTGATTAGCTTCCGAGCGCGTCAACCGATAAAGTCATCAGTCCCGCAAGTGTAATGCATGCGTTATGTCGGCCATCTTCCCCCACCGCAGCTGACCTACACGTCGACTTGTAGGGTTTTCCCCAACCTGGTGTTTCCCACCAGCGAACCGGCCCGAACAAGTACTAAGCGGTGACTGGACGCGAGAGCCGATGGCAGGAAGCGCGGATAGTAGGGCTGGCAAGGCAGCTGAACGCGCGGTTGGGGTGGCGGTCGCGCAGGCAGTTGAGGCCGCTAGAGCCGGCGATTGGACGGGGTGGGGTTGGGTGGGGCGCTCGACGTAAGTGGTGTGGCCGCCGCCCGGAATGCCATTTCGCCGGCGAAGCGAGGCGTCTCGGAGGGGCGAAAAAGGCGCCGGCAACGCGCCAACGGGCGCTGGCGCAAATTGCAATATGATGCAGTCGATATGTCCCCGCCGCGCCGCGCCGCGCGCTTTTTCCAGCTGGGACTAATCGCTCGGAAGCGGCGGCGCCGCCGCAGCCTCCTCTTGCTGCGGCCGCTCGGACGAGACGAGACGAGACGAGACGAGACGAGCGCTCTGCATCCGTGACGCACATGTCCCCGAGGGGCGTTCGATACACTTACATGGCGAAACAGACGCCGACGTCGTCTTCATTCAATTGCATGCCGTTCCTGGGTGTGGTTATTACATTACGCCCTCGCCTGATATTGGGATGCTAGCGACCAGGCACAGAAGTGTGATATCTTAGTACGTGCCATAAATATTCACATGCTAAACACGATGTCTAATATTACGATGCCACGATTGCGATACAAATCAAATGGTGTTACAATACAGCACCAACTTACGTTTTTAATATTGTGCCCAAATTTCCTAATATTTAGTAAAGTATCTGATAATAAATCATAGACAATGTAACCCAAACTAAATCATCTGAACGTAATTGCATGAATCTGAACGTCCAATAGCAAATTCCTTTAACGTTCTAAAATAACTTTGAAGATAATGTATTTAACATTCTTTGTTAAAAGTAGTCAAAGCACATAAATGTAATTTAAATAGCAGTTCTCGTCAAAAATAAATTATAACATCCCTTACGTTATGAATATTCTTATAACGAATAATGGTGTTAAAAATCTTTCAAAATTTTTTTTGCATTTTTTTCACTTAGAGAAATCTCAATTAGACAATTGGAAATCTATCAATAAGAAAATTTAGGTATAGTAAGGTAACTTCAAAATATCTTGATTTCTAAAATCATAGGAACCGATTTAAAGAAAATTTCTTCAATAAGTCTATTATTTTTTCATAATTTTGGAAACATTAAATATGTAAGTTACAGGTATACTTAAAGCGATCTCCTATAAGCTTAGTCATATTTCAAAACCCTAATTCAATCCAGAAGTACATTCTTCCTTTAAACTAGAAAAGTAACCAAAAACTGGATCCCCTAAGATTATTGAAAAAATAAATAAAGTGTTTGAATAAAACATTTATTATGTATTTGTAAAAGAGCTGTGGCAGATCAGTTTGCTCTTCGCTTATCATGACAATCAGCAGATTGTTTCAACTGCATTGCACACCGACACTATAAACAGACCTGCAGTTAGTGATATGCGCTTAATGCTTTGCATGCACAACACATCACGAGGGCGTGCATCATATTACGTATGTATGTTAATAAACCTATGACTCATTGTCTCTACCTTTTGCGTCGTACTCACACGTGACAAGAATAATTATCAAAAGCATAATGTGACATGCATTGGGTAAGGCCATCGTTTCCGGTCACGAACTAATGTCCCTCCTTGAAAGGCGAATGCGTACATACAGCTTGTCACCGTTATGAATTGTCATTGCGTGTTTATTGGCTTATTATGCCACATAAGAAATGACAGGATTCAACGTTTAATTGTGAGGATTTATAGATACACCAACAAGTAATTTTCTTTGCATGTAATTTATCTGATTGTGGTAGCTTAAGGGATTCTCTTTCAAAACGCCTTCAAACGAACACATTTAAAAGATAGAAGACGCAGGATGGACGTGAAATAGTAATAATCACAATTTCTGTAATTGGTGGTAGTCAGAGGAGAAACAAAGTTTTGAAAATGTGAGTCTCTCCTACTTAATTTATTATTATTATTATTCCATATATACAATTTAATATTTCACGAATTATACTGTATTTATGGGTTATCCGAAACAAATTATTTCCATTTCCAAAAGCTCACTCCAGAGGGAGAGATAATGGGACTTCTGCCTTCTCCATACCAGTGACACATTTTTAAAAATTAACGTTTACTTATTTTCTACACTAACGAAAGTCATTCAGCAGTACAATTTTTAACGTTATAAATATTAACTATAAGTCAACAAATAAAAATACATTTTATATTGAGCGTAAATGAAAAAGTCTATACATGGAAACTTAAGTCGGCTGGACCCTACACCGGTAGCAGTCTTCCCACCCTCCCTCCGAGAAAAGTGCTGAGTATACTTCTTTCTCTTGGGCAAAGCCATTGGGACAACGAACAATTACGAGCGTATTGGAAGGAACCCGTTCGTTCGCCGTACCCGCGCGGCTAGCACTCGGCGCAGCGGCCCTGGCATTGATCGACGGCGGCCGCTGCCACTCGGAGAGGAGAGCGCGGGAGCCGAACGGGCGACGCGCCGCGGCCTCTTCGCCGCCGCCCAACCTAATCAGCCGCGCAAAACCCGCCTCGCAAAGCTCGCTCTTCCTTTCAGATTCAACACGTGAACCTCTGAGACCGTTGGCAACACGGAACGCTTCAATTAGCTGCACTGAAATGTTTCACATTTCTCAGGAATAATATACCAAAAACGTTACTGTCTATTGCGACTACATTTCAAATTATGTAAATATGTTTTAATATAGGTGTACGACAATTGTTAGTTTGCACAAAACAATCTAGCAGACATAATAAAATATCCGAATTTTTGAAAGGGAAGTTTCACGACGTATTTTCTATGCAAAATTATTTGATGAACTTCATCGATATCTGAGAACCATCGTTGCATCCGCCTCAAATTCAAGATATAAGCTCCAGAGCTTAAATAACATCTTCGTCTCTCTAAAATACAGTTTCTTTTTTTACTCGGCAATACCACGAACAGATGATAGAAGGGGCCGAAACATAGTCATTTAGTTTCGTACAATGGTGCTGAGATATGGTAAATTGAAAATTCAAATATATTAATAATCGTATGAGACGATATTACGGCCATATAAAACAGTTGGACAAATTACAAATACAGGACATTTTATTTTATTAAATGAACATACACAAATAAATAAACAAGATAATACATATTGAACATCGGATGAAAATCTCGCTTTCTAAAAGCAAATTATCAGTCACCGAGCATTTCCTCAATATTTCATACATTCACACTCATAATCGAAACGGCTAAAAAAATAAACGCTCAGATTCACGTTTGATGCAACGCAGTGTCTCATTGTGACAATGGTGCATTGAATTAGCTTACATCTATTCAAACACAAACACCAAATAAAATGTGATCAGTTAAACAAGTGTTGAGAGAAACTTACTTCCATGTCGCCGGGCAGGTTTCAGCTCGACAGCCCGTGGAGCGTGAGACTCACCTGCAACAAGAGAGGTAACGAATGAGACATTATTCACAATAATGGTCATGATAGCAATATAATAATAATAATAATAATAATAATAATAATAATAATAATAATAATAATAATAACAGCAACGACAAAGTCAGTCCCGTTGCGCAGACGGTTACAGTTGCCGTCGTATGCGCCAAAGAGGCTTCAGGCTCGAAATCTACATAGGCATGGTCGTATTTGTGATTGTCCCTTCACCCATCATCATCATCTATCATTTCGTAATTCACACTTCGAGGCTTAACAATCTTGTCGTAATGAGAGATTCAGCTGAAATCTGATCCTGGAAGAATTACAAACGTTAATGGTGTAGCAAGGTCAATAATGGTATTATTATTATTATTATTATTATTATTATTATTATAAAACAGATGAGCTTTAAGTATCTAGGGATCCATCAAAAGAACTTGCTCAAACACAGTAAAATTAAAGAGGCAACACAAGCATAATTTACAAGAGAATGAAACGCATATTCAAAACCTTTCTTAACTCACGACGTTTTAAAGCAACAATTAATACATACACCACATACCAAAAATTACATTATTGTTGGGAATCGTCAAATGTCATTTGAGAAGACTTATCAGGGTCTACCTGACCCTTTTCCAACTTTTGCATTCCCAAACTTGAAACCAAATGGTAACATTTCTAAGGAGGTCGTGGAATTTTAAAAATCAAAACTATTCACATAACATGTTACCAACATGAGGGAGTATTTCCAGAAGAAAGCTGTATCATTTCTACTACATCAAGTGATACAGGAAGCACGTGATTATTACACTCCCCTCTCCCTAAACCAACATGAAATTGAACTCCAACCACCATTCTTCGTGCGAGAGATGGGGCAATTGAAGCAAAAGGCAATTCATGGTAGATATGTGGCTGAAATTGCCAATCCCAATGTCATTGTTGATTTAACGTAGAAATTGCTCAGTATTAGATATCTACTGTACATCAAGGTAGTGTATTCTTTCTTGCAATCTAAGAACAAGTAATTGAATCGAAGAATTATTTGAATACATCATCAAAGATCCGGTGATGAGTGTCGAAGCTTCATCCATAAACCCATGTCATTGGCTGGTCATGTCATGGAGATGAAGCCATATCAATGGCTTCATCTTCGGTTTAGAATCATGATATGAAATATCATAATAAAAGTATATCCGCAATATGTGCTTAACAACAACAGTTATAACCGTGCTGGAACCGAAGTATACTGACAGATTGAAACATTCACCATGACACACGTGTTTCAACACTGATAAAAACAAGAAAGTACAGTTTGTTGAGCAGCAATCTTACGACAGTGTATCAGATGACGATCCACAACCACAAAGAATTGGCTCGTGTGAAATATCAGTGGAATATTCTGGAGATAAAGACTGTCCCCGTAGTTCTTTCAGGAGGGGGTATCATTTCATACTCACTAGAATTACTCAGAATTTAGAAAAAAATAATAAAAAAAGAACCGCTGTCAGGCTCTATTAGCCTGTTTTAGTACAATCTCATTGGTCAGGAAATGTCTGGTAAGTAATGGAAGTATTTAGGTTCTACAATAAATTTATATCTCAATATTTCTATATTGTACACATACATGTTTATTAGTTGTATTTTCTGACTTACACATATTCATATAACTATTAATATTGTTTTTTGGTGTACAATTTATTTGATATATTATTAATTTGCTTGTCATGCTTCATTAGATGGTACTCGTGTGTCTTCTGATTATGTGCGATCATGTATTAATTCTGGTGTTCTGATTATGTGTTAATAATCGAATCAAATAGTTGGAGAATTCAAAGTCATTAACATACAGAAGTATGAATTACGCGGTAGGTATCGTGAAGTAGTTGTGGATCCAGAATTGGGACATCGAGGTGATGCTCCCTCCCAAACAAAATCAACATTTTTCTAGATTACGGAATCTTTGAAAATAGGTACAACATCACACTCCTACGGAGTATACCTACGAATACGCTGTTTTTCAAGCTCACTTTTTTAAATTTATTTTGTTATTTCAAAAATATTCAAGGACATGGTCCTAACTAACCACCGTCTGCAATACAATCTGGATGTGCCCTGCCAAGAAGCATTCCCCGGATGAGGCGCCCATCGGAGTGCGCATGCGCGGCTGCGCTCAAGCCCCGGCGGTCCCAGGGCTGCGCCACAGCAGCGCGCAGCGTCGGCGCTCGCGCACGCCAAGGCATAAACCACCGGGTTTACGACACAAAACCGCAATTCAATCCCACTTAAATTTATATTAGGGTTTACAACCAATGAAATCGCAGCGAGCGCGGGCTCGGACAAAACGAGCCGGCGCTTGAGACTTTAAGTTGCACTTCTCCGCCCCCGTCATCCAGGCACTTCCAGATACAATTCACATGACAAAACATTTCTCCGCAATGAGCTGCATTTAATTGGTCCTCGGCTGCCTTTATTGCACTCAGTAAGCCACAAAGCTCGAGAAGAGCTCGCGAGTAGGTTAGAATGTCGGAATGCTTTTGACGAATGTCCTGCATTTTGAATATCCAGGGCAGATTGTTTTAGGATACAAAACTTTAAACTTTATCAGTTAAGTTCTTCAGTTGTACAAAACCGAGTGATTTGTGTTTATTTTTGGCAAAATGAAGTATTGTAGGTAATGTAATTTTTAAATAATTCGCCTTATAAATAATTGATTTTATACGTAATATAGTGTACGTAATATAAGTTTTATTGGGTAAAATTATTACTATTAATATTTAAATTTCTATACTTTACAATTTATATTTATATACAAAATATTTAGACGTAGTTTCAAGTTATTGGCTGCTGAAAATAAAATATATAATATTAACTAATCATCAGACATGTTCTATGTCTCCTTGTATTAAAGTTCATAATGGAAGACAGCTGCTCACGAATGTGAGTAGAACCAAACTACAGAGAATCAGTACGAGTTTGTAGCTAATAATACAAAAAGCGCAAGCTACCACTTCTGGACGCTGCCGTCACGGGTCGTCCTCGGGAGGCACCGCCGTGCCCTGCCCCTCGGTGTTCCTCTTGAGGCTCCCGAGCTGCTGGCGACCGCTCGCGCTTCTTAATTTGTTTAAAAAAAAGTAGGGAGAGACTGATCGTTTTGGGTAAATTAAAAACAGTACTATGAATTATTTTAGTAGTTTGGCGAGACCTATTATTAGATGCCCTTTTTATACACACACTTGTGTCTTTCAATTCTATTCTGGACAAACAGTTACGCCTTCGTTCACATAGTTAAAGTTATGGCTTTCAACCCACGTAATAATTTTGCGAAACACAAACTCGGTGGATAAAGCAGTAAATAGTTAACATACGAAACAAAACATCATTACTATGACACTGATCTTGAAATATTTACAATTGTGCTCTTCAGTGCACAAGCATATCACAATCGATAATCACGTCTGTCCACTTTTCAGATTTTCCCTCAGTCAGTTAGCATCCTCAACGCGTCATGCTTCAGGCGCCTGAAGCTCGAGTCAGTTGTTCTTAGTTCTCAGAAGACAGGCGACGAGGTGTCAGTGGCCGCGGAGTATGAGAGATGCAGAGCTCAATACATCAGGCCTCGCCAAACCCTGCGACTTGGTTGGCTGTCTTCTTTTTAGAACTTTGCTTGTGCATCTTAATTCTAATATTTCGACCATCGTTAATGCTTTGTTACAACCCACTTATATTTTCTCAAAGCATTTTTGTACTCCTGTGTTCATATTGGTATTAAAGAAGCGAATTCAATTAGTTTTATTCTTAACCCAAGCACACTGTAGGTACTAGAAGAGGCCCCGAAAAGGTACTCGTTCGTTGCGATGCAGCATTCTCGTGGGCCGCTTATCGGATGGACTGCAATAAAATGTGAACGTAAAGGGATTCCAAATGACAGTCATCGAACGTTTCTAAATTATTACGTATTTCATGTACTGCTTTCATTCATTGTTTCAAACAATTTCATAATTCACTTGCACACCTAATTCATAGATCTTCCCTGAAAAGGGCGTCGGTAAAAATGCTCACCGCAGAAAATAACCGGGCTATGCAAGGCAATAATACAACTTCTAAAAACTAATCGCACAATGGAATTTTGTAAATAATTTTATGGCTAGCTACTAATAACCACACCTCTCTTTCTCTCTCTCTCTCTCTCTCTCTCTCTCTCTCTCACTCACTCACTTTTACTCGCGTTTTCATTTAAGAGAGTTATTTTTATTTTCATTTTTAATTCTTTGCAGGTGTACCATTCGGCAAGACCATGTTTTAAAACAAAATTTTCATTTAATATTTTTCAGTACAATGAATACGATACTTTCATTTCACGAAGATCTGAATGATAGAATTCACAAATTTTCTTCACGTTTCGATTTGGCGACAATTTGAATAAGAAATTCTCATGTCCAGGACAGGAGCACAATTTGCACTAAACAAAAACTTAAGGTAGCTGTTACATACAGAATTCACACTGATCAGGATACACGATTCACTTTGAACACAAAGGATTTTTATTCACTGTTGAGCCAATACGAATAATTTCGTGTGTCCATCATAGCTCAAATTGTGAAAGACCTGAATGAACTTCAGAGTTTCTTCATCAAGAGATTTAAAGGAACAAGACAACTTGAAGCCGTCTTGCGATTGGACAACTTTTTTTATGTATTTCGTGTCTTGGGTATGAAATAATGTATTC